AAGATGTAGTTATGAGTAACAACATTTTTAACGATCTCAAAACTGATTATGATTTAGGTACATCTATGATTTTCAAATGCTGATTTTTGTCGGTTTCCCGAAAACAAGTTCCAAACAAAATGTGGTATACTATTTATACAACTTGTAGTTATTGGTGTCGCAACGGTTTGCCGGGTGGGCGCTGAATAAGGTGGTCTCGGGTTCGATTCCTAGTGGAACCAATGTGGCAAATGAACTTTTCTAAATTGGTTTCTTCTCAGGGTATTCTAGTACTCTCTTATTCGAAGTCTACGGATTTAATAAACTTAAACAAAAACCTCGTCGTAACTTACTTAAATTAAATTCTTCCACAAAGTTGTTCCAAAATAATTATGTAGATTTAATAACATTTTAGACGTTCAGTACGCAGAATAAAATGCACATATTAAAACGGTCCGGGTCCGAGTTTAATATAACTGAAAATATCGCGCAATAACTCATTAGAATGGCCATCCGATGAATATGGATGGGGAACATCCATAAAATTAGGACCGTGACGTCGAGGAAGCTAGGCGATGGAAAGGAAATTCACTTCCTCGATGTAATTATTGCAAAAGATGAAGAGGGTTGTTATACGATTGACGAGACAAGAAGAAATCATGCGTCTGGTGATAAACGACAGATGTACCAATAACAGTGTGACGATGCGATCACTTTCATCGTCATCCCACCTTTTTATGATCCTGTTGCCCGGTTCCTGCCACCTTTTATGAAATTTTAAATCGTTCTTTAATTCCTTTTCTTCGTCATTCTTACTATTCTCCGTTCCGTCGCCATTCTCTACTAAATTTCCGAAGCGAGCAGACGCGCTCGACTTCATATCAAATTCTGTAAAAACCATGAAACCTAACTGCTTGTAAAGCATAATATTTGTATAAATGCATGCCTTTTTGGGGTAAGTTCCTTTTTTACCGTATGAAACCTGTATATAATTTAAGTAGGGAGTGTTTTTATATGAACGTACCTGTGTTTATATCGTTATTTTGTTTTGTTACAGCCATTACTTTACCTTTCTTCCTTTTCCTCTTCTTTACGTATTCCTATTTTACAGTAAATGATGTGGACCGAGCCTTTCATTTGATTACTCAAAACCCCCGGTCACAACAGTTGCTACGTCAGAGCTTTTGAAATTTATTTAAAGATTTGAAGGGCATTGCTACTGCACCCTTCACCTTGAGATGTAAAGTTGACATGCTCCATTTGCTTTTAGTTTCACCAGCACAGTGGCAGTACTTTCCTGCACTCTTTAATAACGAAGCTCTACAGCTGCTATAAAAACAAATTAATACATTCTGGTTATTGAAGTTATTGTCAACATAATCGCTGAAACTAATAACTAAATATTTAATTTCCAATTTACTTCAAATGTTTATTCGACGCCAATACATTCCATTTACATAGACGACAGCAATGTTACTGCAATAAAATTTTACTCATGTTCTCCTAACACACTTTTATCTCTCTATCTCTCTCTTCAGCATTATGATTCCCGTCTGATGGTGGTGTCGGTTTTCTTGGTGTGTCATTACATTGTCCGGTTGAACTAAACATGGCAGCTCTTTAGATCTTTGACAAGTCCCATGTGCCTGTAACTTCATCAATCTGTCCACTTCATTTTCGGTCGTCCTCGTTTTCTGCACTCAGTGTTGATCGGATTTATCACGACTCGTGCTTACAATGAGCCATAATGAATATTCTGTCTCGAATGATTTACCATCAATTTCTAAAAAGGTAAATAATTAAAATAGCTCAGCTTCCAGTATAACATTATGATACCAGCCTAACATAAACCACGATTCTAGCAGCAAGGTGGAAAATTCACAAACCAAACCCTGAATACGAATGAAGTTTTTGCAACTGCATTAACGTCGGTTAATATTCCGCGCTGTTTTGGTTATGAACCGTGTATTTAACAAAAATATTGCGAGTGTTTTTATGAGCATTTCGTTCGACGTTTGGTGTGACCTGGATAACTGCATGAGGAAGCAAATAAACCGAGCCGCCGGTGTTACCATTTGTGCTGATTACTTCTGGTTTTACGGTTTCAATTACGAAATAAACACCAAAGTCAAAACCAGAAGTGGGATTCACATCTTTTTTTATTATATTCAGTTACGGGACGAGCAAGTCACGTACCTGGTGGTAAGCGACACGCCTATCTTGAACAGTTGCAGTACCGTACAGAGCTTCAAATCGCAAAGATCTGAGAGGTTCCACCGCTGCACCGGTCACTCTGAAATATAAAGTTGATAATTTCCTTGTGCCTGTAGCTTCACTTGCATCCGTATTCTTAAGAATACGGATTTACGGAACTAATATATACGGAACCAATTTCTACAGCCAAACACTGAAGTGTTTAGCTGTAGAAATTGGTAGTCATGTACCAGTACTACCCAGGACAAACTCTTCACAAAGTGCCTTACTGCTAAACATCAGGTGCTATCATGTCAAAAACTTTCAACATATTGCAAATAACCTCCCGTCTATAGAAAACATGTTGCCGTTGGATACTTTTGTACTTTGGATGTATCTATTTTCATTGCATTTTTGTGTACAGAAGAAATTAGTTCTTTAAACGTAGTATCGTAACTTCTCGAGGTTCCAAATCTGGATGTCAGCTTTATCGGGTTGCTTTTCAACTCTTTTTGCTATTGCATTAGAACAATAAAATTGAAATGTACAGAATTCAAAGTTTTAATAACGTCCAAATCAGCATTAATTTTCGTCCCAATTGTGTGTTTTATTGGCTCTAAAATTTCGGTAAGTAATATTTTGACTCGTTGCTTTACATATTTAGTTATTTATGAATGATATTTTGATATAAAATTATTATGTACTTTGAATTCATAAGCTGGAATCTGCATTATACAGGATTTGTAATGGCTACGAACAAAATTCCTCGATATTAAACTTAAATTAAACCCTATGTCACTTGGTACTGGATCTTTTATACCTCAAAAGTCATCAAAAATACTCTTGCCCAACGAAAATACACCTTATGCAAATAAAAATAAAATTATATTTACAAGTACAGAAAGTAGCCTACTAGAAAATTCTGTTTAACGCAAAAAGGGCGACCTGAATTTCCATTGTTTTACTATAAACCCTATAACTACACAAAAATGTAGATGACATTTGTGTACCAGCTAATTTATAAAGACCCGTAAGTCAACAAAAATAGCTTACTGACAAAGTGGACTCAATTGCTGTGGAAAAGAATATTATTATTACAACAGAGATGGAACGAAAAACATTGATATATTTAGTGTGGTCGTTTTTGCAAACTACAATACTTTACTGTATTTTCTTAAGTCATCTACATACGCTTTATTTAAATCAACTTACTACATTAACTTAGACTGCGTGTGCACTGTAAAGGACGTCCATTGACAAGGGTGCACCCGTCTCAACCTGGTTCGCTACAGTCCCGGGAATACAAATTATGGGCTTCTTCTGCAGGCTCGCACCGACTCTAAATATGAACTCGTTGCCGTTCCCGGTTCCTGGTGCTCTTTTTGGGACGGAAATTGGGGAAAAATTTTACCTTAAGTAGTACTTGTAAACGTGACAAAGATAAAGTTGATGTTCTGTAAGATAAAAGTCATAATACGGGCTCTTTGTATTCCGTACTCAAACTAGGAGCACGACATTCGTGTCTGTATGTCACAGCAAATTTGGTGTGACGACGTATTTTCGTGACGCAAACGTGAAACAGACATGATATTGTTTTATCGAAATCAGAGGAAACACTACCCAGTCTTAAGATATTTTATTATAAACACGAACTTTGCCTTAGCTACCCTTCACCGAATTGAAATAATTTAAGAAATATGCGCGTATTATCTTAACAAAATTTAAAAAATCTTATTTAATTATGTTGATGTGCATACACATCATGGTAATTTTATATCATTCTTCAAAAGAAATGTCGTTCTGAATCCTACACCACCAGACTTAAAATTACATTATCTCCAGAACGTACGCGCTGTCGCCATCTTTACGTACGATATTACGAGTATGAAGTCAGAGCAATTCGTGAGCACACTGAATAGAGGCTTGTCAGTGAGCTGGACACGCGTGAAATAATTGACACTGATGAAAGCACCGCTCCACATGCGACTAGTTCGTTTCTGACTATTCACACCGTATTTGAATTCAGGATGCTGGAATAATTTGCAGCCATAGCACCTTTCAGCCCTAGAGCCAATTAAACAACAGTAGTTGCATTGACAACAGAGAATACGAATATAGCGAATGTAAAATTGTGTATCTCATATTTGGCACCTTCTAATTAGACGCTTACAGAAGCGCTACAGCGGCATTCAATCCTTCAATAAACTTAGTGCAATTTACGTTCAGTTCCATTGCATCCAACGCCTGTTTGAGAGTGTCAACAGGTCGCCAAGTCACATTGTTGGACCATTGGTCTTGAGCTACGTTTCTTATCTTAGCAATCCCAAAACTGATTTTCCTATCTTTCTTTCCAGGTACCCGCGTTCAGTGCTAGTGCTGTGCAGTGAATGTAGTGAAGTGATGTTCGCGTGAGCCGCCCAGTCATGCGCCGGTCTGGGCCGAGCCCGTGGGCCTGGCTCGCGGTGCTCGTTGCGCTCGGCAGGACCACGGCATATACTGACACCGACGAGTTCCTTAGCGATTTGGACAAACCAGGTATGTAATACATTGTAATGAAGATTGATAGTTTATCAGTGACATGTAGGTTGTTAAATTTCAACTCTCTTTAATGTAAAAATTTTACGATTTCATCTTTGCTTTTTTAATAGTTGCTTTCGAAAACCAGTTTCTGTCTATAAATCGGTTATTACATGTACATATTATGTTGGTATCTATTGTAGAAATTATACAGCTACGCATTCCACCGCCAATACGCATTGACAAGCAACTTTGTCAAATACCTTTTTCTTTAATCCATATTAATTTAAACCTGATTTAATCGTATCGTTAACAAGATTTGATACCTAATCAATTTAAGGTTTACTTTCCCGTGATTTCGTACATGCTGTGCTCACGATCAAGTATCTTTTGTAGTTTCCGATAACAAGCCGTACCGATCGATCACAAGTTTGCGTAGGAGAACTTTGAACATTGTTGAGAAAGAGTAAATTAGTATGCATTCTTACGGATAAAACTGACTATAAAACTCATTATTATATACATCAAAAGCAAAAGTGATTTAAAAGCTATAAAACTTGACTACTAAGGCTAAATGAACGGACAGAGTGCCAATGACAATAAGCTGGACGAGAAAAAAAGAGTTACGCCTTGTAATCTTTCGAAACTACTTATTTTATGTGTCAAAACTTAATATGAATAAAATGTTCATAAACCATAACAAACATGCAATTTATCAAAGTTAGTCTCTTAAATTTTTAACTAGACACCGCAGCAAATAAAATTTTATAATAAACCTGAAATATCTTAACTCCAGATATCATACCCAAACCCTAGGTTGTGCAACATCTTGCAGAAATCAAACTTAAGCGACCATAAAATTTTATTAGTGAGGGCAGCTTCAGTTGGCCCGTAAAATATTATCGATTACTTATTTTTGCCTTTTCCGAAGAGTGGTTAGAAGTAATGTATATGTATGTATATGATGTACAAACTGGGTCAAAAGGTGGAGATCACGAGAGTGTAAGATGTTAATATAATTTGATTAAATAGTGAGATGACAAATTTTGAATTACATTCATGTACAAAATAAGATGGCATATGACAACAGTATACAAACAACAGCTTTAGGAGAAACAAAGTAAAGTTAAACATTTTTGATCGCCTGCCATTCTTTCATAGCTCAGCTTCAGTTGAAAGAGCGTCAGCCACGGTATGCTGAAGGCGCTAGTTCGAATCCAGCGGGACCGAAGGAACGTTCCTTAGTTTTTGATTTTTGTATTTGATAATTGTAACTGCTTCTGTGGCCGAACGGTTACCACGGCTGCCACGTAGAGGTCCCAGTTTCAACTCTCGGGCCGGGAGAAATATTTGTATGGCCTTCATTTATTTCTCTCGCTAGTTTGGGTGTAATTTGTGGTTGTCTATGTATGTGACCATGGCACCCTCGACACAGGGTTTCCCTAGCGCGGGGCTATGTTGTTGAATAAAAAAAGAACTACAACAAACTAGTGAAGTAATATCACCAAAAATCTATTAAATGTCATAGGAGTAAAACTCGTGATTTTCAATAAACTTAATATTTAAACTTTGCTAGTAAAGAACGAAATTGAACCAGGCCGTTATTATTCATTATCATAAAACTTTTCAAATCTTAAAATGTATATCGACGGGCATGAATCGTAAAAAAGAACCTCAAACATTCTTTTCAAAACCATAAAAAAATATTAACAATTAAAAAACTAATTACGAAACCATAGAACACAAAAAACGAAATCACATAAAGAAACATGTACTAAATTCTCAAACCAATAGCTGTCGACAGCTAAACAATGTTACTATTGAATTATAAAGAGAAACATGGTAACCCAGAGCGTTAGTTATTGTTAGAACACATAATGATGCTAGTGGAAAAAGTTAACCCTTAAATTGGGACAATGATGGTACGTGTATCGTGCATAGAACCCGTCGTGGCATATTTTTATGGGGAGCAGTCACGAATGGTTACATATGAGGTTTTGAGAAAGAGAGAGTGACGAAATGTTTCTTAAGGGTTCTGTGGGAAAATTACTCGAAAACAATCCATTTATTTTCAAATTAGGAAAGCTCACTTTCAGGTTTCATTAGTTTTCTCATAAAAATTGTAGTATCAGCGGTAATTACTACAGTAGTTTCTTAAAATGGGTACACATGTACACGAACTAGACCTCTTAATTTGCGGAAGTTAATTGGCTGTCCATAAGAACCGGAAATAGGTCCGTTTCGGATCCGCGACTTCCTCGAAGGAAGAGTTAAATCCAAAAAAAATCCATTTGACACGCCGACTCCAAACCAATACGATTTTTATTTCACTAGATAATAATACATCAAAGGCTTAACGCAGGGGCCGACCAATATGATTCCAAAAGATTACTGCGGTAATTTACTGTGGACTTTTATTTGTAATAAACATGATATTTTGGGGAACATCGGTTTTTAATCTCCCAACCCACGGGTTTAGGGTTGCTTTTAGTATCATTATATAACTCCGTACGTTGGCTGCACGTTGGTAATGTTCAACTTTGTACCAAGAAAATTTAAAATAGAGTATGGTAATACTACTGACGAAATAATTTACCTTGATTAATTAAGCACCAATTGTATGTGTAACTACCTCAAAAGCTCAACTAAAAACTTTTGCGTATATGTATATATATCTTGGAGGTATCTTTATATCAAAAACGTGGCTATGATTCCAAGAATGCTAAAGGTTTTTTCAAACCTTAACATTGGACGGAACCACGTTGTTTTTTTGTCCAACTAGTCCGTCCTAAACCTGACTTTAATATTTCTAATCTGTTTGTTTGGTTAATTGATTTTAAAAACATGTCTCGGAATGGGCTCTTTTTGATAGTAAACATTAGAATACTTTTCTGTTCTTCGATTATCGTAAAATTTGTCATAACATCATGCTGTGCTTCCGGTGTTGAATTTCTCGACTCTGTCTTTTCAAAGTTATGGATTTAGAAATGATATTGATCAATACTTTAATTTGGGTAACTTCTGTTTTTATAGATTTTTTTTCTAAATTGTAATTATATTTCATTTGGAATGTGTTTTAAGAGTCTACCTACTCGTTTTATTTTCATGGTGTTCACGTTTATGTTATTTTTCATGATGATTTATTACTTAACCAGTCAATTACTTGTAACCGTTAAATATGCGATTGCAGTTTAGAAAACTTTCCTTTATATGAAATCTTTGCGATTGAATAAATTATACCTTATTATCTCATGACAATAAGCTATAATTTTTATTGATATTATTATCAAGTGTGTATCAGCTGGGATATCATTTTTCAGATCTATCTTGTATTAATTAACTTCGGTGGCTCAGAGACGCAAAGTCGATCTTAGGCTCCGATATCAGATTCCGCCTCGCCTCTCGATTCTGTGCTATTCTCCTAACTTCTGTCAATATCTAGGTCCCTTAAGTCTCTCTCTTTTAATAAAATACAGATCATAGGATGATATTATGTCAAAAATTGACTAATTAATTGATTGGGATTTGATAAGAATTTAAACCCTGACTGATAAGACTTGTGGACTGATCCAGGGCATCGTATTTTAACAACTCTCAAACAATGCGTAATCATTGAGCAATCGTAATTTGCATTCATGTGATATTTATTAACAAATACAATTAACTTAAATTAGATCTTATTATCAATGGATTTATTAACCTTAAGTGGAACTAAATACACCAAAACTATTCTAATTTGAAACCATTGTCAATTCACAACTGTGCCAAGTTTGCGTCAAATCACTTAACAATTTGGACCATTTTCATTAACATTATCTCGAGAACATCCCTTTCATACAATATCAAACTTTACTCCCTAAGTTCAAGTGACTCTCCAGTCCCAAGAAAGCAGTAAAAAGAGTTATAAATGTGAATCGTGAAACTTTTCTTCCGTATCTGTGGCGAATAAAAATTTCTATTTAACAGTCCTTCTGGTCTGAACGACTTTTTCTCTTTCATAATAGTCTTGATGAAACTAATTTTAATGCAATGAGCGTTTTTCCAGCAATTCATAATAGCCTGAAGATGACTTCTGGTGGTCTAAGAGAAAATGTATCTAGAGGATTTCTGTCATGTAAATACCTAATTGTAAGGTACTTCGAGTGTCATACGTAACCTTTATGACATAATCAATAAATACTTGTAATAAACAAACAAAACCATTATTATTTCTGCTGGCTTTTTGGGTAATGCCCGTGTATTTGTTGGCATTTTTGTTCCGATGTCCGTCCATTTGTTTATTTTTTTTTTTTGAGTGTCTGTGACCTGTACATATTATGTGTCAGCGAATGCTTAGTATCCATAGCTTTTGTAAATGTTTCATAGACGCTTTAAATTGTTTTTCTCTTATTTTACAAGTAATGTTGCAATATAAACTTTTCTTTTTTTTAAATTTTATAGTTTCTTATGCACAACCTCTATAATGACTAATAAAACCAATATATTTGTTTGTTAAGGCTGTTGTGTTGTTAATCTTATGAACTTTTCAAAGGAATTGGATATTTTACTCACAATATAAATGGAACAATTTTTATCATTCTTAGTCCTGTCTAGTTTATAGTTTCAGGTGTTCAAATTAAAATTTTGATTTCTATCCATTTCAGTTATTGGTTTTCAAGTAGTCTTAATATCTTCAGTTATTAAAGTTTTTATTAGTGGTTTAAGGCGAAGATTTCATATTACGATAGGTAGATAATATCAGGTAACATGTAAAATTACTTTTGACTAATTTTGACTACTTTGAAGAAGATACACATGGGTATACCTATGGAGGTATTAGATCTTACACGATAATTCAAAAATCCCTGAACCGCCTCAGTAAATAAGCTTGCCAAGGTTGCCGTCAATCCGTCTCTGTAACATTGTGATTGCGTATCCCCCACGCAAATTGTCACTTGCTCTCGTATGTATTCGATCAGCTACTGCCGCAAAGACCTGTAAAGGTAATAGATAAAAATGACTGCTAACTACGCCAAAGA